ATAATTACGTTATTACATTTTCGTTGAAAGAAACTTTTTTTTTTGATTTTGATGATCTTGCGTCAGATTACAACTCACGCACGTCAGATGACCAATTGGCAGGTGACGTGCGTCACCTGGAAATCGGCATCTGACGTGCGTCAGATTAGATCCGACGCAAGAATCGATCTGAGGCACAACATTAATATCAAAATATTACTCTATAGTGCCCTATCACCCTACTAGTTCCTTTAACAATTATAAAAGGCCCATTTTGCTTACACAAAGTCAGCCTATTCTCCGTACACTGTTGGAGTTAGATTGGAATCTTATCTATATTTTACATTAGCTCTCCCATTCAACGGTTACACTATATATTATTCTAGATGGCTTGATAAAAGCAAACATTTAAACAGAGCTGTTGCGCTTAAATTACTTCATAATTCCAATAATTGTCATGAATTTATAAAAGCGGTAATCTTTAAATTTAATATTTTTATTAATTATCTGAATATAATTCTTTAGTTTTATTTTTATTTTATTTTTTTTTACCTTCCTCCGCATCCCGAAGGTCCTTAGACACCTTAGGGATCTCTCACATCTCTCTAAGGCATTTTGCGAAGATCAATGGTTGGCTGTTGACCCCTGTAATGTTTGGTCCCTGCGAGTTACACGCTTTGTTGCTGCGTACGTCTGTTGTGGTGTTCCCCAGCCTCTCCGTGCCATGTATTGGTAAGTATACAGACAAACCTCTCTAAGTGCATTCCCTTGGGACCACACTTTAACAACGTGCATTTAAGAAAAAGTACATTTATAGAGGTCAAGTATATATTTGGGCCAGAATCTGAGCATGTATTTAGAGAGGTTGTGCACTTATAGAGACCTGACTGTATTTGGGCCAGAATCTGAGCGTGCATTTAGAGATGGGTGTGCACTTAAAGAGGGTGTACTTAGAGAGGACTGACTGTGCCACCTTGGTGATATCCCGGATCCCTGGTTTCGCGGTGTAGGACCCCGACAGAAGTTCGTAGTTCCCTACCGCCATGGCCTCGCAGTTCCCTTTCCTTTCTTAATACCCATTTCTTTTTTAACCTTTTTCATATTACCTTCTAATCTGGGAATCTTGTCGGATTTTTTCCTTTTCTGGGTGTCGCGTGACTTTGTGGCTATGTCACACAACTCATTCTTCGTTGAAGTATCCTCTTGCAAATCATTGCTATTTGTGGTCCTGGCACGGCTTTTATCCCCAGTTGGGCTCGAACCGGCGACCTTACGAACATGACCCCAGAGCACTAGCCACTACGCTATTGACCCACGGGTCTGTATAATTCTTTATTTATTATTTATGTTAAAACTTTAAAATATATTTCATTCTAATATATAAAAGCATACTGTGATATCGGCCTTAAGGATCCAACTTTTTTAAAATGTTTTAACATTTCAAAAGATAAAGTTTCTAAGACTATATCCTTATAATGTTGTACACAGAAAAAGGCAGTTTGCGCGAAAATCTGCAAACTATCGCACAGATGGATTGGAAAGATTTATTAAATCTGCTACAATGTATTGTATCAGATCTTCAGATAATTCGCTTTCATGATCTTACTCATCGGGATTTACATAATGGAAATATATTACTAGATAGCTTAAAAAGTGCATACATTGTAGATTTAGGACTTTCAATAACTGCTGATTTTGCAATAAAGTCAAATTCTGATGGTGTTTGTGGAATTTTATTATACATTTCTCCTGAAGTTTTGAACAACCAACAATATACTAAAGCATCTGATATTTATTCATTTGGTATAATTATGTGGGAATCATGTGGGAAATTTATATGAATGCTGCAGAATGAAAACCTGGAATGAATAGTTAGGTTTTCACTGTGGCGAACTTAACCCCTGAAACATTATGATGTTATGTATTGGTATTGATGATCGGTGCCTGATTTTTCATCTATACCAAGAATCTAGATATCTAGATTCCTGTTGAAAATGAAAAATCAAACACCGATCATCAATACCAATACGTAAGTAAAATCATAATGTTTCAAGGGTTAAATTCGTCACAGTGAAAACTTAAATATTCACTTCCAGGTTTGCATTCTGCAGCATTCATATAAAAAGCCTGTATCTTACGATCAAAACTTGCCATGTCACAACTTGTTTTTTTAGTGTGTTGTCATGATTTAAATCTGTTGTTAACGAAGAAGCACCACAAAGTTACGTAAACCTTATGAGAAAATGTTGGGATCAATATCCAGATAAACGTCTGTCAGCAAAAGTTCTTTGTGAAATTTTTGTGAAATGGCAAAGTGATGAAAGTGTTTTGTTAAAACTAAATGAATCCAAAACAGTACTTGAGAATATCGAAGAATCGTACTATGAGAATATGTTCAAAGATGGAAGCAAGTTCATCAACACGCGTGAAATTACAAAAAAGTTATCTGAAATGGCTTTCGATTTTATGTATGTAATTTTTCTTAAGAAATTTTTTGTAGGATTATTTTTATACTTTAAGTATTATTAGATATTATTATTATTTTATTTTTTATATGATTTAATGCTTAACGATGAAACAGTCATGTGCTTATTTTTAGATTAAATTTATTACTACGCTTTTCAAATTACTGTGATTATCAAATGATCACTCATTATGCAAAAACACAAATTTCTATTTCAGTTGGTTGATCAAACAATAAACTAGTTTTTCTAATGTTTATTTTTATTCAAAGCTATTTTCGATTCTATAAATTGACGACCAGACCATTAGGGATATCTTTGTTCAAAGTTCGAAAACAAATAATATTAAACTTTAATCGGATATATGTATTTTTAACTAATAATAGGCTTGCTAAATTCCAGATTCCTAGATTCCCGCGTGGTATATGAGTGCTGCACAGGGAAAACCTGTAAATAAAATTTAATTCGTTAAAATATTATACGAATTTGACCAATCAAATTTCAAGATCAGTCTGATCTTGAAATTTGATTGGTCAAATTCGTATAATATTTTAACGAATTAAATTTTATTTACAGGTTTTCCCTGTGCAGCACTCATATGAAATATAATCAAGTAATCTGAAAGCGTAGTAATATAAGTATTTAAAATTCACGAATATTTGATATTTAATTTTAGTTGAACTTGAAAGTATAAATAAATTTATTAATCTAAATATTTACATTTAATTTACTGAAATTCATAATTATAAAAATATTTATTGATCCAAGCATTTAAAATAAGTTTTCAAATTCATGAAAATTTCATTCAATTTTATTTGCATAAAACCGAAATATTGGTAAAAAGGCTAGATTTGATTTACATAAATTGTGCGAGTGTTGTGCGCAAATCATAAGGTCAGATGTGATTGAAAAAAAATCCAGAGTTAGAATAGGGTTATGGCAGAGTAATAGTTCTTAACCTAAAGTTTTTTTATTTAATAACAAGGGTTTTGTCAAAATATAAATTATCTTTTCAGAGTTTTTATGACAATAGTTTTGTTGACAATTTCATTAATTGTCAATAGTTCATTCACTACAAGTCCATCATTCATAATTGTTTTGCCATTCATCAATATTTTATCTATCAAGTCTAATCAAGCGTCTGATATTAGGGATGCAGCGCTCTAATAAATAAAAGGTAAGGTCACGCAAAGTTGATTTTTCGTTTTGCATTACCCGACAGACCGATTTTTTTTCAATTTTTCAAAAAAAAAAAAAAAAAATCTTTTTTAAGTGTCGATTGTCGATTTCTGCCGTTTATTTTTTTTCTCGTCATTTTAACCGGTTGCACCTGACTGAGACTTTAGTTTCCGAAATTATCCGTATGGAAGCAGCAAAAAAAAATCCGACCGACCGACCCAATTTTTCAGATCAAAACGAAAAATTAAATTTGCGTATATGTTGATCATGCAGATCACTTTACCAAAACCGGAACAAGAAAAAACTTTCTTCGCAGAAAATCCCGAAAGCTACTAAATAAACCCACCAAGAGGCCCTAAGTAAACTTGTCCAGCTCCACTGGAAACAAGGAAACAACTAATAGTTACAGAACCCGTACAAAACTACCCATCGGCAGTATCTACTGGCAGAAACAAGAAAAAGCAGCCCACCAACAACCTTCCCACCAGCAAGTAGAAATGGTTTATAGACCCCCAACTTCCACTCAAACAACATCCAACGATACCATGTCCACTACAAAAAACAGCAATGAAATTACTATCTAACCCCAGTCGGCACGCAAATCGAAAATGTGTACCAGGTTGTGCTCCGGATGATCATGTGATTGTCCGGAAATCACAATAAACTATCGCTTTATAATAAGTAATTATCGCTATTTTAAAGTCTAATTAACTCTTTTATTTATTAATTCGCTTCATATTTCGCTTCATATTTCACTTCATATTTGCTTATATTTGCTTCATAGTCACTTCATATTTGCTTCATAGTTCACTTCATATTTCGCTTTATATTTCGCTTCACATTTCGTTTCACATTTCACTTCATATAAATAAAAATAAAATAATAAGAAACAACTACTTTTGCCGGTATTGAAAATTTTAAGAAAGAATGCGAAAAAGCTGAATCTTTATCATTGGCAAACTGGCTTCTTATCTCTGTCAACGAAATTCTACTGTAAAGGTTAAATCATTATGAAGTGAAGCAAAAATTCGAGCACAACCAGCATCAGTACCTGGTACAACGAAGAAAGCTTAGGATTCTTGACCATAATGAAAGCACGTAAAAAAAAGAAAACTTCCAAAAAACCATAGTTTATTAAAAAAACGTTAAAGCGAATAAACAAAATTAATGATATAAAGTTTTAATCTTTTGCGTGAAGTACATAATTAATGAAAAGAAATATATGTAATTAAAAATTTTCTGGATATTCATTCCGGATTGCCACATGGCATCCGGAGCACAACCTGGTACACATTTTGGGTTGCATTAAATAGGTTGTGTGACAAGAGTTATCGGTATTTTATCGTTATTAAGAATAAATTCTATTGGTAGATTGGTAGTTAATTGGTCACTTCCATCGTGTAAACTAGCTAGTTTGAAACCTCCAGTGTTTATACCAATTAAATTTACTAACCGCAAGTCTTGTGGCCGTGAAAAGGAAAATATAGCTGCTCCGCTATCACCTTTATCCGCTTCAAAGTTTGCAATGATCAAGTTCTCTGAAATACTAAGTTGATCTATCAAAACTCCATTTGACCCCACTGTATACCCACAAGTAACACGAGTAGTTATACCAGATTTACATATATGAATACTATGACTAGATATTCTTGTATATCCAGTTATAAATAATTGCGGATATTGTCTATAATCTATATTCTTTATATTCGCTAATAGTTTGGACCTAGCGCTATTAGTTACTTTAATTAAACCAAAATCATATGGTTCTGTACTAAAAAATACAGGCTTTCCAACAGGTATGAGTATAGGATTCTGTACCTTCTTCCATTGACGAAGATTAATAATATTTGACAAAGAATTAAAACAATGTCCTGCAGTTACTATGTACAGATTTTCATTTGTTGCACTTTTCGCCCAAAAGTCCACTGAACATACTTTTTTTTTATTTTCATTATGTAGACCATCTCCACTTAAGATCATTGGACCAACCATACGTATGCCGACTTTACTTTGGCGTCTAGGTTTGGAAATACTTGAATCATGTGGCTGGGTTGCTTTATAAATTATTATCGGGTTATAATGTTTAATGGCATCTTTAAGTCTTTCATTACTTCCATCATCATTTGAAATAACTACAACGTTATTATTGGCCTTTTCATCAGTGTAAATGAGAATGGACAGTATGCTTTTAGTATTTTTTCTATGATCTATAACTAATTGTTTTATATGATACCATTCGTATCTTAATTGACGTAAGGATTTAATTGCTGGTTCGAACAATAAATAATTTCGGTAATCAATTATATGAGGTGAAAATCTTATCTTTTCGATCATTTCCGGATCTAATGTTGGGACCATTATAAGTTCATTTTTTAACTCTATGTAAGATCCTCCAAAGTCCGTATCATAATGATCTAGTAATGGTTTTAAAATTTCATCCACCATTTTTAATGTCTCCTCAATTGTTAATAATAGAGATACATGGTTAGCATCTCCATCCCATAATTTTTCTAAAGGATGTTGATAATTTTGCGAATGACATTGTAATATAAAAATAAATAATAATGACAATATATTTATAAAAATGAAATTGGATCTCATTATTAGATATTTTTCAAAAATTATAGTCGGGATGATGCTGAAATTTTGACTTATTTTATAATGCTTTTCAAATTACTGTGATCGGCTTCATTTTTTTAAAAATTATCACACAATCCAAAGATTTCTTGTCAAATTCAAATTCTTTAGTATAACATCCATTAGTGTATTAGATCTTGCTTTGTTTAGCCAAGTGGTTATAAAAATTTCCTGTTTTTTTTGTTTAAATTTTCCTTGTGTTTTTAGATCGCTAGTGTTGAAAATTAAAATTGTTAATAAATAAGGTAGCTGCGAGATGCCATCGCACTAATATTCTAAGAATGGAGTGATATTAAAAATTTAACAAATTAAGTGGTGTGTGTCCGCAAAATCCTGCATTTTATTTGATAAAATATGTGGCAAAGTAGGGATGTGAATGAATATCAGGAATTTCACACGTAGCATCATTACAGGGCATACTTCTCTATACAGGCAACTTCTGCGCACGATTTGATCCACACCTGAATTCGTATGAATTCATATGAATCCATATTTACTGTTTTCTCGCGATCTGTTTCACAATTAAGTTTTTAAAATTCTTATATTCAAATGTTGAAACAGATGATAGTAAAAACATGATTTTCATACATTAATATTAGTGGCTTGATTCAAATTTTCATATCTATTCACGGGATATTTGGCATTTTTCATTTTTCTATATAGGATTTATTATCACTGA